ACCTTTTAGACGATCGGCAATAGGCAAGTAAAACATTATCTGCTTTTGCTTGTTTTTTCCTTTTCCATTGTTCGGGTAATAGTGATATTCTTTACAAAACCTACAACTAACCAAATTCGCATTTTCCTTCAAAAATAGCATACAATTCTTCACGCAAACATCAATCTTCTGTAGGGGTAACCCAAGCCCTCGTGTCAGTTTCTTGGTCTTGTAATATGTTGCTGGAGAATTATTCGGCTGCGGAAGCATTTTTTTTAAATACTTCAGATATCTCATCTACACAAGCTTCCACCAAATTATAATCTGTCTTCACTTTCATCATCCGCGAAGCAAGAAAAGACTGAGATATTCCGTCTGCACATCCTTCGAACAGAGGTTGACTGGTTGCTTCAAATGCTTCAAAAACACTATTGCGATATGGCTTTGCTGCTCCCATTTCTTCTATAGGTTCCACTATGTATGGTGGCGCAATGTCCGCTGGTACTTCTGGATTACCTTGGTAGTGATCTTCATGAGCATGCCAAGTAGGATTCTCTCACATTTCCTCTTTGCCTGTTGAATTATTTGCTCTAGAACTCTCACCAACAGTGTAGAATTTCTCTCCATGACTCGTCCAAACATAGTAATTTCCCTTAAACCCGTATAAGAATAGATGTCTTGAGACAACTTTTTCATCTCGTTGCTTTACATTTTTGCATCAAGCACACAGACACAATAATGTTTACCGCTCCTTGTAATCTATTTGATTACACGCAAATTGAAGAAATACGTTAATGCCTCCGAGAAACACTTCTGGAACAGAATTACTCTGAGGATCAATCCTCTGATCCATCCATTCCCTTGAATCAAAGTAGAAAAAAAAATTGTTTTGTTTATAAAATTTGGCTGAAGAACAAAAGTGGTTAATGTCTCACGGGAGGTGTATATATTAATGGACATGTATATTCTAAAAATATCCCTGCCACGCGAATCTTTCTCTGCTTCGAACTCAAAAAGTTAAACATAGCCACGGTAAAGCAATGAAAAAAGTGTGGCTGAGTACAGTTATTCGCTTTTTGATGTCGTCACAAAGAAACAAAAAAGAAAGCCACGAAAACAATAGTGGTTAATCGGTTAATTCGTAGCTAGATGACTACCACGAAACCTTCGTTGCTATATCGTGGCTATTATAGCCACAAAATATTTTCGTGACCAATTGGTGGCCACTTTTCACGTTTACCGTGGCTGTGTTTCTTTCGTGGCTGTTGCGTGGGAGTTTCGTGGCTTCTATTATATAGCTACGAGTTTGTAGTGACAGTACTGTGGCTATGCTGTAGATTTTTACTAGTGGCTGCTTAAAGATATTTCTGAAGCTATTTACTTGTGCGTGGTTTCTTGACATCAATACATGTAACCTAGTAAGAAAATTAATTACATTTATAACACATTAATAAACCATAAAAAAAGGAAGAAGAAAAAAAAACCATTCCCAAGTGTTTCATTTATTTTAGAGACAAGATCCCAATAGTAGGTTAATTTTGGTCCAGTTGTGGTCGTCTCTCAAGAACAATGAATCTTGAAGTGTTGAAAACTGTTTTGTTAGTTTCTTCCGCAATAATTCTTGTTTCTAGATAAGGCATCTTCTACCGGTCATATTGCTTGAGGGACTAATGAAGTGGCCTTAGTTAATATGGATTTGGGTAAATTAAAGATTGGTTGGTTCTTTGATGACTGACTTTAACATGTGCATTGTGCTCTACCAAACTCACAACTGAAATCTTTTATATACTTTACAAATCTAACAAAGACATAACTACTAGCATAACAACAAGCCAAACTACTCTATTTAAGAAGAAGAAAAAAGGAACTATTGAAAAGGTGCAGCGTATCAAAAGCTAAAAATACCAAACAGATTCGAAGAAAAAAGCTTCCCACTCCTAGATGTAGAAGATAGTCGTCGTATCTGAGTAGAAAAAATAGGTTTCTTCTCCTCCCTCCATAACCTTAACAATAGCCACAGAATCCTTGACCGCCACAACGCCCGCCGGCAAAACAACCACCAACATCAAGACCACGACCACGTCCGTTGAAGAAGGGACCAAAACGGTCATCATTATATTGACCACCACCACTGAAAAAACGACCAAAACGGTCATTAGTCTCCTGACCCCGACCAGAACGGTCATAGGTCTGCTGACCACGACCAGTACCAAACAAAAAACGATCAAAACGCTCATAATTCCTCTGATCAGCCCCATCGAAAAACGACCAAAACAGTCATCAGGTTCCTGGCCAAAAGAGGATTCATCGATAGACATGTTCTCTGCCTCGGCTTTTACATTAAACGATGAGATCAACAAATCCATCTTTTCGTCCATCTTTTGAAAACGACAATCCATCTTTTCTTCGATCTTCTGCAGACGATCAGCAAATCCTTGCAATATCTCCATCACATCAGATATTTTCTCATCAAATCGCATCTTTCTCTACATCATCGTTTGGCTCTCTATTAACTTCCTCTAGATGTGATGTGGGCTCAATCACAACAGGAGCTGTTTCAGCTGTGATAGCGGATTTATTGTCCATGGAGAAGAAGCGAGAAAGCGTCTAGGGTATAGAGAAAAAAGTGGAGAACGGCAAAAACCCTAGAGGCTTGGAAAGAATGTTTTATGGATTTTATACTGCTTGGGGCACAAGTGTGTTTTCAGTTATTTATTTACTAGGATAAGACCTGCGCCTTGCGCAGGGTAAATATATGTAATTAAAATATAAAATTTTAATATTCACAAATTTAAAATTTACATATGATTGTTTAATATATGTAATTAAAATATAAAATTTTAATATTCACAAATTTAAAATTTACATATGATTGTTTTTGTATGTATTTGAAATTTTAGAATTTTGGAATTTTTATATAATTATCTATACGTATGATCAAAAACAACTTTAATTAGAAATGTAAATCAAATCTTAGAATTTAATGGATTTGATTTCATATATCTTTTACTTTTCAGTGTTCGAGTGATGAAAAATAAATGGAGTGTCACTGGGCTTGATTGGTAGAGTATAGCAAGTTCCCTAATGTTTTTAAAGAAGCAATTGGTAAAATATTTGCAATTAAAATATATAAAGTTTCTAAACTAATTTAATATAATTTATTTATTTGTCTAATAATATTAGAAAATTATATTTTTTAAAAATTATATTTTTTAAAAATAATTTTCTAA